CCCCCCCCCCGCCGCCCCGGTAGCCCCAGGAGGCAGCCTGGTGGAGGGGGGGGTCGGGGCGTCTTCCAGACCCAGAGGGCCTGCTCACGAGTTCCAATAAGGGTTGGCAGGCTCTGAGTACTTGGGTCTGGGTGGGCCTTGGCCCCGTTGCAGCACAGGGGCAGGTGCAAAGACAGGGATCCGGGGTCCTGATGTGGGCGAACCATGGAGGGCTTCAAGGCCTGTGGAAGAGCGTGGACTGCTATTAGGAAATGGTGGGGGCCTTGGTCAATAAAGAGCTGTCCCTGGGGAGATTGCAAAGGTGTGATTATAACAGTCATATCGTGAATGAAGCCAGCTCATGGAGTGTCGGTCCAACTGATGTACTCCTCCCTGGGTAGGGCCAGAGCTGGGAGCATAGGGAGAGGAGGTATTGTGTCTGATGTCAGATGACAGCTGGCGACCAGGAGACGAGGGGAGGGCTCTGGTCAAACCCAGGCTGCTAGGTCCAGCTGGTGAGGGTCACAGACTGGTTCTCTGTGAGTCATGGGGTGGAGAAGAGGTAGCCACACACGGAGTGGTGAGGAGATGTGGTCCTGATGTGAGCACATGCAAAGACCCCCAGAAGAGTTGCAGCTGGCTGGGTTTTAGAGTATACGCAAAGCCTGCTCTGTCTGTCAAAATCGGAGGCGGAGGTGTGTGGCTGCCGAGACAAATGCATGGCAGCAGCAAGGGGACAGCCGGGGCAGGGCGGGGGCTTGCTGTTCATCTTTCAGAGCAGGGAAACACATGGCATTCGGGCTCGGGGCGCTCAGAGGCTGCCTCATGGAATTGTGAGTTTTGGCAAGATCTGATTCCCGAGCACCTCTCCAAGCCTTCTTCTGCAGTGCTGGCCCCTGTCCCAGAGGCCCGGTCCTCCTCCACGCCACCCCTCCCCGTAGGGATCCGAGCTGTTTCCTTATGAGGTCAAGGAATTCTAGGTTTGCCTTCTCCCCAAGGAACACCCCTTCCCCTGGCACCTGCCTCGGCACTCTGCCTTTTATGTCCCACCCATTGCCCCGCTATGGGGTCCCGCCACGGATGGCACCAGGAGGCTGAACCGTGACGGTCCCCTGCGCCCACCCCGTGGGCACCTGTAGCCCTGATCCAGCCCCACTGCCGTGCAGGTGTCTTCTAGACACCAGAAACCAGGAAAGCCCTTGACCATTGGAGCTGAGAGGCCCTCTGCACCACCCCCATCACACAGAGGAGGAATTGGAGGCCTAGACAGGGAGGCGACTATGCGCAGGGATCGCCAGTGCAGCAATTCCAACATGGACGTCCCCACGGCTAGTATTTAGTTCTCGGGACAGTGACCTGGACGGTCTGGGGGTTCTGAGTCATCACAGGGGCTGTTGGGGGAAATCTTGGGCCTCCAGCAGAGTCTTTCTGGGAAGGGTGTGCAGAGGTAAAGAAGAGGAGGAATTTCTCTGGAACTTCAGCCAGACGATTGTTGACTGAGCTCTTTAACGTTTTAAGATCAGAATCTTCTTGATACTTTAGTTTGATATAAAACTTAACTTTTCAAGGATGTTAAGGATACTTTGGATTTACCTACTGGTATTCAAATACTTTGAAACATTGCTCAGATAGGAACAAAAGTCGTAAGGGCAGGACTACTGTGAAAATAAGTACGCGGAAGATCGTCACAACCAATATCAAACCTTCGTCAGAGAACAGCGGGCGCCGTACAAACGTTCGCTTCCCCCCAGCCTGTCTGGGTCATGTACGGAGGAGGAGGGAGGCAGTAGTGCAAAAAGAGGATTCAAATGGAGGTGAGGGTCCCGAGATCCGGCCACGTGGCCGTAGCCTCCGTGGTGAGCTCCACCATTACAATGTCTGTTTCCATCCCTGAAGGACAGTCTTGGCCATAAGTGCCGGCACAGCCACCTCACAGGCCTGAATTCATGGTGGCCATCCACGCTCATCTATCAAGTGACAAAAATCCACTGGTCTCCCCAGCAGTGTGTGTGTGTGTGGGGGGGGTGGTTCCCACGAGAGGGAGCAGCAGGAGACCCTGGCACTGCTGGGAGATCCCACTCTGGGTCAGGGTGGAAGGTCATTGCCAGTGGAGCCAGCAAAGGCAGCAATGAATGCAGGGAGGCCAGGAGGACGATCAGCGCCTTGCTGTTAGCGTTAAACTGCAGATGGACGGCCAAATTCATTTAGCGGGTATGACCTACTTCTTTCCCCATCCCTCCTTTTCTTCTTTTCTTTTTCTCTCTTTTTAAATGTTTACTTATTTATTTATTTTGAGAGGGAGGGGGAGAGGGAGAGGGAGATAGAGAGAGAGAGAGAGAGAGAGAGAGAGAGAGA